GGCTCAGGTCGATCACTTCGGTTTACAGGTTGGCGGTAGAAGAAGATTCATCCCATGGCCTGCCATCTCAGCATCTCATGGCCTGGTGTCTGGCAGTTGAGGCTTGGGCCTTCATTCGTCGCACAGGGTCGGGTGCCACATTGATCAGATGTGGCTCCATCAAGCTGCAACGCTTTTCGCAGATGGTCGGAATTGGTGGAGAACCGAGGCGAAGCGTGTCCTTTGTGATTCAGGCTCACACACGCTGTGCATGAAGTTCTGATTTTGTGTTCTGCGTATGTCCTTTGAGGGTGAAAGCGGGGCTGGAAAGACAGAAACTGCCAAGGCTGGGGGATCAAGGGAACATGTTAAGTTTCCACAAAAGTCTAGAAACCAAATGATTAGTGCGAGCGCTTCTTCAAGGAAGCTCTCCCCGCTCTCAGGCGGGGGGAGCTTCCTTGAAGAAGCATGACCTTTCCTGCATCCTAGCTAGGGGCGTGTTTAGTACCTCATAGCTACTAACTAGCAACTAGCCTATACCGCTTACCTCTCAGCAAAGTAAAAGAGGACTTCTCCAGATGTACCTTCCAGTCCCTGACTGCAGCACGTGATGCTGTACTTCTCCTCCCCATCAAAGCCTGCCACCGAGAACGGCCGCGTTGTCGTGGTGACGACGCCGTGACGCCGTGGCTGAGGTCCAGTCCCAGGCGTCCATCGGTGCGAATGGTGGGGGCGTGGAGGAAGGACGCCTCTGGTGGAATCCGAGATTGAAGCCTTGCATGTCTTGAAGCTGAGTGTTCTCTCATTTTTGGATCACGTGCTTTTCTTTTCTTTTTTCAATTCATGGGTATATAGTATATTGATATGTATATACACATGGTAAATGCACACACACACACCACCTTGCTTGATCGGCAGGGGGTCGAGAGACTTGATGGACCGGACAGCACCCCACCAGTGCACTTGATGGACCAGTGCGCTTTCTGGATTCCTCACGGACGCTTCGTTGCACTCTCGTGTAACGAGAGTTCCAGGTTGTATGGCAAGACGTGGAGTCACACATATTATCCACCCCATACGATGTCATTTTTACGGTTTATGTCTTGAAGGTCACCTTAACGCCGACAAGAAAGCTACATAGATAGAAGAGAAAAACTCTGAACCCAAAGGCATTTCTGTTCTTCTTGGGTCTCGGACTCTTTGGCAACTTGCTCCTTTTGTGAGATCGGCATCTCGGAGACGATCAAGCTCTGTGAGCGAACACACTGGCCGGTTAGCATCCTCAGTTGAAGGTATCGGAGTTATTTGAGGGTATTGAGCCGCTGCCCATGAGTGATTTTTGTTTTCAGTGTCGAACGTTCAGTCTGTGTCAATACTGAGGCCTTAAAAGAGTTAGTGACAGGCTCCAGGATCCTAGCAAGCTGGTATTATATAGCTCTGAAAACTTGTTGTTGACCTGGTATTAACCTGGTATTATCTTGTGAGCAACCTGGTATTACCCTGGTAGCAACCTGGTATTAGCAACCTGGTTTTTGGAATTGTTGCTTAAATCTTCCATTTGGCGAGGTTAGACTCCACCGCCAGCCTTGGCTTGCAGCAGGGGGAGAAGGCAGGTCGCTGTGCCTGTGTCAAGATTGAAACATTGCATTGACTTTTCAGCTTTCCATACGAGACTCCATTGAACAGATAGTTATACCGAAGACAATGCGGACAGCAGATGCATTCTAATCTCTTGTGTGGATGCCAGGCCGAAGTCCATCAGATCATGATGAGTGCGAATCCCATCACTGAGGCGCTTGGAAGAGAGCCAAGAGACACAGAGTTGACCTTGCTTGATTGAAGCAAACGCCATTGGTCAAACTCTCCTTGGTCTAGACTTCACGAGCGACTTCCCGAGGAGTATCCTGTTTGTTTTTGTGGGAAAGCGGGGTGCATGGCAGCGCTCGTCGCGGTCCGCGGTGCTGGGTTCTTTTCCTTTATCGCGCTGCTGTTCCAAGGCAGCGCGATGGGAGGTGGGACAGATTGGGGTCATAACGGTACAACGGCACTTGTTCCTAGTAGCTTCTTGTTACTACTAGTAAGGCACTTGTTACTACTAGCGATGCACTTCTTACTACTAGTAAGGGGTATAACTTTGGTATTAAGGTGTAGGAATGTAGAACATTTTATGCCCTGCCCCTTGCAAGCCAGGCGCTGGGCAACGCCCGGACACTGCGGAATGACAATTCTTCTCGGTGAGCGCTGGGACGTTTCAAAGCTTTTCTTTTTTTGCTTCTTCTGCTCAAGCTTGTCATGGCTTGACTCCTTGTTTGGTTATTCACATGCTTCAGCCAAGACGTTTAAAGTGGAAAGGAACCTTTGCATTTGATACTATGACTATGAGATGTCGTTAATTCCACAATTTAGTAAGTACTTTTGCGCTATGTCGTAACTTCTTCGTGGCAGATTTGGACGCTTTGTGAAACTCTTCTTGAACGTCCGGTGCCCGAAGTTGGATCGAAGCACAGAAGAGTCTCTTTGTGACATGCGGAAACTATTGCCTTGGATACGATTATACCTATCTTTTTGGGTCGAACCTGAAGCCACAAAACTAGGTTCACATGCATTGGATCCCACTGGTCATATGTTCGTATGATGTAATATGATCTCAAAACGCTCCAATGAGACTGGAAGAGTTATCTACCTTCACCCCTTTTCAAGCCCTTGGTTGCGCCGCTTTCATGAGTTAGGTGACTGTTCAGCATCGTTTTTTGTATATTTTTGCCGCAAAAATTGGACAGCCCAAACCTGGTTTTACCTATCTCTCAACAAAACGCAATCAGTCATTGCCCTTGAAGTGCAAGAACTCAGCGACTGGATCGGCCTGGATCGGCCAGGCGGCAGGCGAGATCGAATGTAGTGAGATGTCCATCTACTCCCTGGAGAAGCCGATCCTGTCTCGCTTGGTTTTTTCCCACAAGCTGATGAGTTTGAGAAGGCCATGGTATGCACGGTTTCAACCCGTTGTTTTCAAGCAGACCCCTTTCTATACCCAATAGAATCTGGTAGGGAGGACCTTCTTGGCTTGCAAACAGTTGGTTGGTCGGAAGATTCTTGAATGCAACGCCTGCTGGACCATGGAGCCAGAATCCCAAGTCCCAAAGAAGCTCATGCTTTTCGCACGTATTGATTCTAATCAGACACTGTTCATCAGAATGTATCCTGCTGACACACTTTTCGGCATCCCAAGTCGCAAGCGCTTCGCAGCAAGCTACGATGAAACTCGAGAACAGCGCACAGAACAGAACCCAAAGCCATCCAACGCCCATGTGAATTCAATGATTGCGCACATGGCCTTCGGTCTGCGTGCCTTGCCCCAGAAGAGTGACTGGGAGGAAGTCGAATGTCTCAGAAGTCAACCGAACAGGAGGATGGATCAGAGTCGAATGTCTCAGAGTCTTTCAAATTGCTCTGCACATTCGTTACATTGTTCCATTGCCGGCCCAGGCTCAAGCTCAAACCCCCATAAGTTGTAGTCCTATCTTCCTGTGTCTTCCTGAACTCCTGAGCGATGTGGTGGTCACACCTGCGGTTGGCCATTTTGTTACTTAGCCTGTTTGGCCTTGAGGCAAGCTCCAATCAGGCCATTGAAGTGGAGGTCATGCAGAGCAATGCGGCAAGAGAGCTCGAGGAGATGATTGCCAACTCTATGGATCGAGCATTGCTGAAAAGCGCGTGCCGACCGGTCAACAAGCCGTGCTGGGTCGATGCCCAGTGTTGCACCGCCCGATGCCACCCAAGCATCCGCCGTTGCCGACCCATTCGCTGAGCCAGTCTGAGGTATGCCAGATTGACGCTGTGAATCAACAGCAATTCATGGTGCCATAATGATCTGGCAACCAGTTGGAGCCACTGAAGTCTGTGGGTTGCCGTCACTCATCAATTTTAAGCTGGATCTTTTGGTGACGCATGCACTCAGACAACCTCGGAGAAAGACATACCTTGCTGCATGTTGCCGGCTGGAGGGAGTTTAGATGAATCCGATGCCTGAAGTAATTTGGCCAAGGGCACGAGTCGAAGCCTTCTACTGGTAGCATGACACACCAGAGGTGGAGGTTGAAAGGAGTAATGTTGGACTTCAATGTTGGACAACTTCATTTGAGACATCTCACAGCCAAAGTCTTGAAATTGTTAAAGCGGTTAACACCTTTTGAGATCCAGCTGATTATTTGTTTGTTTGGAGGATGGACCTTGTTTGTACAGCCTTTCACAGCCTTTCTCATCCTTTCTTACTTCCCAGGTCAACAGCGATGGATGAAGAGGAGGGAGAGGGAAGTTCGCATTTGCTTGAGCAGATCTTCCAGTTTCCGAATGAACTTCGAGTTTGAAGACCAGCTTATTCTTGATTCTGTAGTGTGGCTTTTGTGACAAGCTGCTCCTCACCTCCAGGAGCATGCTGAAGATGTAGCGCTTCTTAAGGCCCCAGTGCATTGCGAGTTGGATTGCCAAGCCTTTGTGTGTGCGAGATATTTTGATGGGAAGCCATTCTGGTGTTTCACACAAAGCAAAGCAGAAGAGAAATAAATTGGAGAGAGCTTCTCAAGCAATTGGCCATGGAGAGACTTTCTGCTGAGCGACGCGGAATCTGTCAAGAATGATTATCCTTCAGGAAGTCCTCAGTGGGCGGAAGCTGTGATCTTAGAGCTAGGCATTTTGCTGCACATCTATATGATTTAAATGACATTTCATGACTATATAATGGCCATGCAAGTGGGACCCAGAATCTGCTGTTGTAGACGTTGTATCTGGCTACTGGCTGCCACCACCCTGGAACATAGCTGCAAACAAGAATGAGATGTTGCATTGCGGCATTGCCCGAGTCTTGCCACCCGAGTAGTTGCCTGTCGTTGTGGCTCGAAAGGCATCTTGATGTGCCTGAATTATCCTGAATATGTTCGTTCCAAAATAAGCATATGGAGAGAAAGATGCGCACCGAGAAAGTTTGAATTCTGTGGCCATTTAGGAAAGAGGTCTGGAGTGAATTCAATAGCTGCTGGAAGGAATCAACGAGACTTTAAGAGCCCGGCCACCGTGGCTGAGCAGGACATGCTGAGCAGGACAGCAGAGCCATGAAACGCAGTGCATCTGATGCGCTTGTTGCGACTGCCGAGCCGAAGTCTGGCCAGCAATTGCGGTAGCTTTGCCATAAAGAGAAAAACAATTCAAGTAGGTTCTGCAACATAAACTTTATTGGACATGTAGGATGCACCCACCAATTGCAGAGCTAGCAGCAGTCTACAAAAGGCCTTCTCATTTCAAACAATGCAGTTGTAGGGTCCCACCACTCGTGACAGATCCTGACTCTGAGTTACTTTGGATGTCCTGCTGTGGTTATCGTTTCTCTACACGGGCCTTTCGTGGGTTTCGGGCCTTTCGATTTCCTTTGACTTGTAGTATTTTGGTTTGGGCAAAGAGTCTGCCACAGAAGCACAGAGGTTTCTTGCTGTGGTAGATGGTAGTGGCTCTGGTTTTTGTTAGTCCTAGCCGTCTTGGCAGCTGCCGTAGCAACAGGGGTTGGACAAGGGGCTGCCAAGTGGCTCATCCTAGCTCAAGTAGTGGCCTGAACCCAAAACCGATCAATTCTAGAAAGTGGTTTCACCGAGAACAGTGTTTGTTGCAAGTCCAGAAACAAAGAGTAGTAAGAGAGCTGCAAAAGATTCTGAATGCAGCAGTAGAAGTGCATAGAACTAGTGAGAGGTGTTTGAAAAGATATGATAGAAGTTTTGTGGAAGCGACAGTCAGCATTGCAGGTTGAACAATTAGAGGAGAGCAAGTGCCATTAGTTCAGAGTTGCATGACGACTCCTGACTGCTCTGTTGAGGCTGCCACTGCTGCTATTTCTGAGCCCCAGGATACCGGTGGATCAAGCTGCAGATGTGCGGGTCTTGGTTGCCTCAAAGCCACAGTATGCCTCCCTCTCCGACTCGGAGGCACACCGGGGAGCGAAGTGACTCCGCCGGAACTCGGTGCAGCTGGGTTTCGAGTTGTTTCGGGATGGAGCGGTTTGCTCAAAAAACGTCCAGCAGCGGCCTCAGCAAAAGAGTTGGTCTTTTCAGATTGGAGGAGGAGCTCTGATCAGAAGATCCTCTCATATTTTCAACTATATCATTAGCTAGCAAACTTTTCCAAGGGAGTCAACAGAATCTTTTGCCTTTGGTTTGAACAAGTGAACACCACGGGTTTTGGTCGTAAAGGCTAGGCATCCGCTCGACAGGAGGGCGCGCTTCTGGTCCTTCCAGACTTCCAGCAAGAGGACAGCTGTCGAAGCATGAAGTAGCTGTCGACATGTTGACTGAAGCAATCTACTTATTGCCGTTGAACGGGAAGCCATCTCCACCAGGTTGACGTGTTGTTAATGCTTGTGCTCAGAGTATTCGGACCTCAGGGCTTTTGCCGCCAAAGCAGGAAGTAGCAGCGTTGGAGAAGCGAAAGAAACGGGTCGTGGGCCTGCCATTCGTTTGGCACCCAGCTGACTTGCGCATTGATTCCCTGTTTTCTTGTTGGTTTCTCTCTCTCTCTCTTTTCTTATGCCGGGTAGACGCATTCTTATGCCGGGTTGACGCGGAGGATATATCTCCCCTTCTGTTTTGTACTACTTTAGACTCTTTGGAGGTAGGAGAGCTAACTTTCGTGGGTGGCTGTTTTCTGAGCTGAAATTGATTGGCCCATTCACCAAACCCACGCTTCGAAGACAACAGTCATCGAATATCCCTCAGCAAAGTGGGAATTAGAATGCTGACAGTACTGAAGTACTGAAGAGGTGGCTGTATCTCAATCAGGCAGGGCCCAACCATTCAGTCCCACAATACCACTAAAATTGTTTACAAACCAGGAGACAATACCTCATGAATTTTAATTTGTATGATTTGTTACCAGAGAAAACGATGAAAGTTTTTCATTGTTGAGTTTGAAGCATAAAGGGCAGCTAGCAGCGGTTCCTCGAAAACTGTGCATTCTGGCAATGTGCTCAGCCGCGTGAACATGCCAAAGGTTCAGCGCTTTCTGCAAGATCCAGGTTTGCTGAGCAAGGCTGGCTGATGGGCATTCTGATGCGCCATCAGATTTGTGATAGTAGAATTAGTCATCATTCAAGTAGTGTCAATAATGGTGTTTGGCCGACAGTCCAGAGACAACTTACATACTGTATCTTTGCCCGCTTGACAGGTCCCTGCTTTGCCACTCTTTGATCTGATCTACAGATGCCCTGGGGCTCTTTGCTTTTCAGCCGGACACCGAGATTTTCTGACCCAATGGCGTGACGACGACTCGCCTTGGGGTCCACGGATGCCTTTCGCCACGGAGCAAGGCCATGGAGCCGCGGCAAAGAGCTCGCAGTCAGAGTTTGGCCAAGTGGATGGGCGCACGTTACACCCAGGATGCAGGACCTGGAACTGAACTGCTCGTGGCGGCCAGAGCATCCTGACATGCAAAGCGATCAAAAGAAAAAGGAACTACTAGCAAGGGCATTATTACTAGTAGCAAGAAGCTGCTAGGTGGAGGCCATCGCTACTAGTAGCTTCTTGTTACTAGTCGCGATGCACTGGTGGAAATGCCTTCGCTGAAATGGTGGCCCGATTCTCAGTTTCTGAGGTGAGCATTCACCCGGATTCAAAGTACCAGGAAGCCTTGGCAAGGAGGATTCCTATTGTGAAACCCAGCTATCTTGAAGCTGTTTGGGAAGCAAAACACCTCGTGGACGTGCAGCAGCTTGGCATTGCAGTGTATTTGTGTATAGAGGAATACGTACAGCCATGACAATACTTTTTTGCGACGAATCAGGGCACACCACCTCTTACCTCTGGCTGGGCTGGCTATTTGCTTTGATGCGGACTGTTCTGGAGATGGAGAGGCCAAGGAAGAGGGTTGCCAAAGATTTGTGAAGAGAAAGTGGCTGAGCAGTTTGATGTCCAAGAAAAGGAGTTGGTTTCTCAATACTCTTTTCTCGGCCATGTGCTGGCAAAACGTTCTGCGCAGGGCCTCAAGAATGGGGCCATTGCCAGTGGAGAGCCTTGGGATGCAAAAGAATGGGAAGACTTTCTCACAGGGTAGGACGAGGTCGTTTCCTTTATATAAGTTTCGAAGGTGGTTATTCATATGCAAGAAAAAGTCTCGATATCTTAGCAGCTGCTACTGCATTCGTACCATCTCACGTCGAATCTCCTTCCATCTTTGTTTAACTGTCTCCTTGAATATCTTGAATGATGTCCGAAGTGCAACATATTTCCATCTGAAAAGCGTGTGCAGTTGCATTGTCTTGCTGCTGCCAAGGCACAAGTCATGCCATTTGACCAGGCGGAGGTTGTCATTGTGTCTGATACCTCTCGCCCATTGTACAAGGCCATGACTTCCATCCTCTTCCGCCTGCTTTTGGGATCACCATCGATAAGCTTGCAAGGGTTTACTCACACACACACACACGTTTGATGACCGACGACATTTGTGCTTTCCCAGCTTTGCAAGACATTTTCAAGTAGTTGCCTTCCAAGTAGTATCAAGCAAGCATCAATGGTGAATCAGCCCAGAGGCGAACCCACAATGACAAGTGCAAATCTCGTCCTAGTGAGAGATAAGTGATATTGCACCAAGTTTTGTTGCAAACTGCAGCAAGCTGCTTCAGCTTCTGCTTGGGTGCCAGGAAGCTCGACGACGTGGGCAGCAAGTGGCACCCCCAAAGTGGTTGGAGCGTTGCCTGCAAATCCGCTGCACGTTGCAGATCTCTGGTGACCTCGAGGTGTGGTCCACAAGGGTGCCCCGCTCCTCTGTTGCTCATGGATTCAGACACTACTACCCAGTGTTTTATGCACATTTGAGTCAGTTGAGTCTTCTTTTTCGGTTACCATTGGGTTAGCCAATTGCTTCCATCCATTAACGGTTCAGTCGTTCCCACAGCACAAAAGCGCGGTCGCTGTCGATGTATCTGGCCTCAGCATTTCGGATGCTCTCTCATTTGTGTTTAATGTCTTTCGTTTTCGCACCCTTTGTGTGGTGTACCAGGGTTGTTTCTTTCCCTGTTTGCAAGATTGTTTTTGATTTCTTCTTTCCACGCTCTTTTTAAAACTACCACTACCCTTTTGTGGTGGTTACTGTGCTTGCCTCGTCGTTGCTTCTAGTCCTTTCTGTCTTTGCTTGTGCCTTTGGTATTGGTGTTCTCTATGGTGTGCCTTTTGTTGTCTCTTTGCTTGTCTACTTATGTTGTGTGTGTATGCGTGTTAGTGTAAGTAAGTAAGTAAGGAAGGAAGGAAGGAAGGAAGGAAGGAAGCAAGGAAGCAAGCAAGCAAGCAAGCAAGCACACAAATCGATTGCAAGCAGGACAAACAATGGACAATGGAGAATCAAAACAGAAAGAAAACTCACTGACTCCCAGATGCAGTGGTTGCCGGGAGCGTTACTTGCCGTGCGGAGTGTTGGGGGTGCAGCGGAGCGGATTTCTTTTTTTTGATGATTTTAAGCTGTTCGCTGGAACCTCCAAGCCGATGAATCACGAACCGTGATCATCATATTCAATATACATCAATATAATACCGACATCAAAAAGTATCACGAAGTCCTAAAAGAAGAAAGTATAATGAAGTATCACTGTACAGTCTAACATCAGATACCTTTTTGTTCTTTTTTCAAAGGACTTCTGTGCTGCATATCTCCTGGCAGGTGCCCCAGCCTGGCATTGTGTGTGGCAATTCTCCAGCAAGTGTGGAGGCGCAGACCACCATGGTATTGGCGAGCAGCGTGCTGTGTCTTTTGCAACTTTTTGGCACTCAGACAGTCATTGGGCGGGGGTTTGCAGAGAGGCTGACGATGTCTGGTGCGGACAAACGTTCAGCTGCCCATTGGTTCCAAGGTACTTGGACCCAGGCCGCATGCCGTTTCACTGTGAGCAAGCAACTTCACATTGATTGCAAAAAAGCATCCGATTTCGTGAGCGGGATGACATTCTACTAGTAGCTAGAAGCTACTAGGTTGGAGGCCATCGCTATTAGGGGGAGGCCATCGCTGCTAGGTTGGAGGCCATTTGTAGCTAGTGGCTCGTAGCTAGAAGCTACTAGTAGCGATGCACCTTGCTACGAGTCCTTCGGATTTAGTGAGCGGGACGACATTCCAAAACTGGGCATGTTTGTTTCTTGTCTCATTTCAACCTCGGTTTTGGAACAAATGATGCTTTCTTCCAACAGCCTGCAACTTCAGACATTTGCAACAATCAGACAAACCGGGAGTGGAATGAACACTGCAAGAAACGACTTGCCGCTTTCCATTCTGGCTATTCTTGTTGGATTTCAAGTCTGCCAATGCAAGCGTATTTATACAGCAAATTACAATATCGAAGCAGCATGTTAGCGAGTCATTTAATTTTGTGGCAAGGCAGCCGAGAGAGCGCTCGTGCTTGGGCTTGGCGCTGTGGTGCTTGGACAACCCTGAATGCTTTTGATGCGGCGATCACACACGTGCCGTTGCACTTGTTATATTGTTTGGTTTAACAAACGTGGTGATGACTTGTTTAGTACTCCTGTCAGGTGGAATGATTTTGGGTAATAGACAATGCTGGCTATGGGGTTGTGCCTCAAATGGTGCTTTGTGTGTTCTGGGTCAGACAAGTCTGTAAAAACGTCAGCACCATGACCAAACAAGCTGATTGTCATTCATGCTCGTCCGCCAGAAGCAGCAAAGTCCTAGTTGCTTTGCGTGTGATTCACCATTCTTTGATTGCATGGAAGATATTGTGCCTTTTGTTTGAGGTGCTTTTCAACGTGCTTCCCGGGACATCAGTCCAAGTTTCTGTGCCTGTGGACAAGGACTGAGGATGTTCCTCAAAGCCCAAGAGAGACTGTTGCATCGGTATTGGCTCAAGTCTGAGTCTCCTCCCGAATCGTTCCAGGACATTTACTTTTTGGATGTATCCTGGCTGGAAGCCTGTGCCAGTGGCAAAAGAGCTTCTGAGGGTGACTTTCCTAGGTGGGGCAGCAGATTTGAGTTTCACTGAGCTGGTCGGCATTGACGGTGGATGGGTAGCGATTTTTTTGCTAGGCAGCAGGTGGTCTACAATCCAGCTTCTGACATGCAGAACGGAATGAAAGAGAACTCCCGTGGACTACGGAAGGCAACCCGACAGCACCTGACACGAATCGTTGCTCTTCAATGGGTTGGTTCGCAAAATATGGCAAATCGACCATGCAATGTTTTTTGAGTTGTTGGGACAGCCACGAACCAATGTTTGCTTTGCTTAGCACATTGTTTTAAGTGATTCAGCGGAACAACTTATTTTGCTGGTGGATTTTAGACTCCATCTTAGCTTTCAGTTTGTGCTCAATCAACTAGCCAAGCAGCTGCTAGCTTGTCCACTACCTGGTCCAAAGATTGTTTCTTTGCTTTAATTTATTTGCTTTGTACTCGGAGGTGCGTAGCACGGGTGCAGAGGATCTTCCACTGATGCGACCGGCGCCCGCACCGTTGGCTGACGCGGAGCCGCAGCTTTGGCTTTTTAGTTTTCAGTGCAAGGCAATGGCCTCCAACCTAATAGCGATGGCCTCCAACAAAGAAGAAATGGCCTCCAACCTAGTAGCAAGATTCAAGATGTTTTCGAACATTTTATGCCAAAAGTCCTTGAATCAGGTGGGCATTCATTGGCATTCCTCTTGTTGGAAGGTTCCACGCTTCCCGCACACCGGATATTGCCAGGCACATCACGCTGGCCAGTTCGGAGGGCATTTTTGGAGGAATGGTGCTGGGCATTCTTGGGTGGAATCCTGGTGAAGAAGCCAAACTTGTGGACCGGATTTGCGCCTTGGCAGTCGATTTTGCAGCATGGAACTGACTTTGCAGCAGCTCCTTTTGCAAGAGTGCTTTCTTTTTACACAAATGATTTGTTTTGCCTTGCGTTGCTCAACGAGTTCCAGATGGCAAGGCAAGAACGGCGGATCTGCTCTGCATGGCATAGGCAATAACATCAACGGGTTGAAGCAGATGCCTCGGCACTAATTTTTTTCCACGTCAGCGGAGTGTATGTCCTGCGTAGTTCAGCAGAGGCCATGCTGTGGCCCACTGGACTCATGCGGGCTCGCTGCCAAGGACTCGGCGGATTGACATGTGTGTTTGTCCAAATGGCCCTGCTCCCAGCGATGCTGGGTCTGTGGTCTTGGTGACCACGCAGTGGCTGGAGGCCACTGTGGTCTTGCGACGATGAGTGGCCGGAGTTTGATGGAGTGAGTTGCGGGCTGGGTTATGAGGCAAGGAGGCAAGGAGGCCAATTTCAGGGTCCAGAACTTTGGATGGAAAAGACGGTCCAACCAACAAAAGACCAGTGCTGGGGCTTATCACTGAATTATTTTGGATATTGTTGGTCTGTAGATTGTAGATTATCAGATCACTTTGGTTCTAAGATCGAGCCCTTCGGTTTGAGCTTCAGCTTGATGTAGTCTTCCAGGCATGCATATCAGAGAAGGCAATCCATTCCAGTTCTGACTTTCCGCACTTCGAGCCTGCCAAGCATCCTTTGCCTCTCTCTTCCATGTCGCTCCAGCTGCAAATTGAGACATGTGGTCCACCTGTATATTGCGGTCGAAGCTTAATTTTGAATATATATATATAAAATAATAATGTAAGGTTGATCTCTATTCAAAGCTAAAGCTTACTCGCTTGAAGAGTAGACCTTGACACCTCATGCGTGACAGTGTGTGAAGCAAAGTTTGGTTGACATGATGCAACAATGCCCTATGTCACTCGGTGGACCGCTTAAAGGTCGAACTTCGTCATCCGGATCACTGGATTAGAACAAGATCGGAAGAGCACGCGCGAGCGTTGGCGGCTTGAGGACTGCAGATCATTGTTGGGCAGGTCCTACAGAAACCCTTCTTAAAAATCTTAAAACAGATAATATTCATGGTTTGTTGGTTCCAAACAATCGGTTTCCTTGGATTGGATTAGATGACCCTCTCGAGACTTCTGATGTTATTTTGCAAGTGTCATGTCTCAGTGCCAGTGTTTGTCACGCCTGTGTGGGGCATGATTTGCTGCGCTTTGTTGCCAGGAGCTTGTAAAGGTTTTGGGTGCCAAGGTTGCTCAGCAAAGCACACGAAAGTCGGAGCTGACTCACATTGTTTGCAGCTTGGCTACATTTGAAAGTGAGTGAGAACGATTTGAGTCAAATTGAGTCCATCCTCACTGCTCACTCCTTCTTTCTTCGTTCGATGCACTGAACATTCGGATGTCCAGGATCTCCGGTTCGGCTCAGGTGCCGAAGCCTCGCTGTTGGAGGCTCGACTGGCCGAAATGGCCACGAAGCGACAAGTGCCTCTGGTTCCTTAGAACTGGAATAGTACCAACTGTTTGCTCAGTTTGTTTTTCTGTTTTTTCCAGTAGGAACCGGACTCGGTCTTCTGAAAATAATTGGTACCTTTCCTTTATCTCAGTCTGTTTTTCCATGTTTTTGTGGCATTGTCATTGTTTTCTACAGTATATATATGTTGATTCCCATTCTAAGAAGGCATTCTCTCGGTTCCAGTGGTTGGCTTTAATGTTTTGCTCTTGAACATCCAAGGTATCAGTCCAGTGGCTGCTTGACTGCTTTCGTTATGGTGAACATCAGAAAGAGGACAAATACACAATCAGCATCTTGTCTGCAGGCAGGGCTGTACAGGGTTTGAAGTGCTGAAGTGTTGAACTTCACTTTTTCCAGACATCATTGGACCCTGCACGCGTATGCATATGCAAGGTTGTTCTCAAACACATGCATTGTTTTTGTCAGTAGACATTTCATGCATTATACATCTCTCCCTCTCTCTCTATCCATCCATGCAAAACAACTTCTTGAAACGGATCCATTATTTTTGCACTTGTTTAAGAAAGACATAGGACCGGCAAAATCCATTTGTATTGCCTGCTGGGGCTGAATCACTGGAAAAGGCAAAAGGCTTGTGTGACTCGGGTATGGGTGTGATGGTGTTAGCAAAGAACACGCCCTTTCTTGTGGCAGATTCAAGCTCCTCCAACTCTCAAATGCCCTTTTCTTTGTTCTTCATTCTTGTTGACATATAGCCATATCCATGCTTCCCGGTACCAACACTTTCGGGAATTCGAATTACTTTGCACCTATTGGGGTACATGTATGCACATCACATCACCAAGTATTTCTTGTGGCAATTTCTTGCGTAATTGCTTGAACCAGACTTTTGCAACGAGTCAATTTGAGCTTGCTGCACAAGGTCGGAGTCTTGCACAGGCTTACAGATTCCAAAACGCACAGAAGGAAGCAACGACATCTTAGGTCTAAACACCAAGGCCAGCATTGATCACTAACCGCCAAGCAAGCAAATGAAGCGGTATTGGTCGAAGCTGCTGGCCTTAGGTACCTCGAGTGGTTCTACTTCAGCATCAAATGAAGCAGCTGCTACGTGCTACCTGGATTGCATGGACACCATTGGACACCGGCATGTCTAGATGAACAAGACATTTTTTTGTTGCATTTTGTCGGCAGGTTTCACAGCGGTGCTCAACAAATGTGACATTCTCCTGTCGAACTCCACTTTGAGCGTTGAACCTGACCTGCTGAGAATGGCGAAGGAGACAAAACAGTTTGACTTTGCGAACAACATCCCAGCCAGTTTTTCTTTTTTCTTTGCTTGGGTGCAGAAGATATGCAGCTGTCCATTCTTGGACCAGTATGCAATCCATACACATTCTTTACTCGGTTGTCCCATGTTTCATCATCATATCCTCCAGGAGCTTGCAGCAGCCAGGGTCCAGACTTGGAAGAGCATTGATGAGCTGCGAACTCTGTTGCGATCTCCTCATGGCAATCAAGCAGTAATTGTTGTCGTATCTCGACCCCAGAAAGGAACTGCAAGAAAGACGTTTTATGAAAGTCCATCCTTGTTCGTTTGTCCATCCTTGTCGTAGGCGATCGTGACGCTATTTTTTGTAATGAGATCATGACAAGATGCATGTCATTCATCTGAGGACAAGGATGAGGCGGGCCGTGTGAGAAAGTGATGGTGCGGTCCGTTGAGAAGTTCTTGAGATTGCAATATCTTCTGCTGGGTGGATCCAGCATGTAACCGTACATATAGTATTTTATAGTTATATATATATATATATGATATGAGTGGTTATATGGGCTTCAGAATCCGGGGATCAATTCGCAAATCAGCCGCGGATGACGATTTGGGTCGATCAATTTGGGTGGAAACGTTTGCGGGACGCACTGAGTGTCTTGAGGCGAGAAGAGAGCGTTTGGAGAGGCTTTTGGATGGCGGAGGAACGAAGCTGGAGCACAGTTTTGTGCAGCCAAGCTGGCTGTCAGACGCTTGGGCAATAAATCAACAGCCAGATCTGTGCCTTAAGTGTTGGATGCTCAACTCCCTTCCCTGGCCCTTCTAGAATTCCATAGTGTACGAGTGCTGCACGCAACTGGACAGGGTGAGTCTTCTGCACTTGTGCATGGAGAGTCAATGGCTTCATGTCCTCGAGGAGACTTACTCCCAGCGGAGACGATTACCTCTGGAGTCCTTTGCAGTCTTCACAGCTGAGAGCACGCAAGAACCCCGCCCGACGCAAGGGGCATCTTGGTCAAACTAGAATTTTCGTGAAAGAAAAACGGACAAGTAGAGTGGCAGCTGGGGTGGGGCCATTTTGGCTCAAGGTTGCTGCCACTATGTTGTTTTCATGGTGGTGGTGGCTGCTCCTCGCGTGCAGCGATGTTCCCGGCTGTCGCGGCGGCGATGGCCATGGACAAGATCTCGGACATGACGGCTCATTTTCGAGTGGAGGAAGAGCTTTGGTCGGCCTTCACGCAGGAGGTGGGCGCCCCTGGAGAAGACCCGCGCTTGCTCGCAGCGCTGCCGGGCAAGTTGGTGGCTGCGGCACTGAGTCAAGCCTCCCTGCCCGGGGACCGACCGCTTTCAGCAATTCAGGCTGCACAAGTGGGACTGGTCTGGAAGCTGGCGAGGCGCATCATGTACACGAAGGGAGGGGGGCTATGGGAGGACTGGATCGAAGAGGACCCATGGGATGCACCCTCAACAACCTCACCATCGAAGCGGACTGCAATTTCAGCCAAGAAGGACGACAAGGACACGAAGGAAAGGACCCTGAAGTTCACCCAGGTACTGGACCAAGGCGACGACGGCGAATTCGAAGTTCTCAACGAGGACGACAAACTACTCCTCCTGCAGAAGTACATCAACACGACGGGGTCGATGCCGGAGGAGGAAGAGGAGCCGACGATAGAACAGTTGTCGGCGCTGAAGAAGAAGTTGAGCCTTGGGAAACCACCCTATGCGGACTTTGGAGTATTCGTCCCTTTCGGACGGAAGGCATTCAGGGCTTCGAAGTACAGGACCTGGGTGCCCACGGCGGATGGCTACATTTCGAAGGAGCTGCCAGGTCCATCGAACTTCACTCAATGGCGGGCTTGCTACAGAGTCTTCACCACGGCCATGATTATGTTGCAGGAATGTTCACTAGCACCCTTGCATGGATACGAGCTGTTCGTGGAGAAGATGGTTCGCTTGTACCCGGATGCCTGGCATTTGGTTTACGCCGCGGACGAGATGGCCAGGAGCGAACTGTTGTCGAGGCTACGCCTGAAGATCACCATGGGCACGAAGGAAGGCAAGGCACCTCCTCCACACTACGACGAGAACAAACCATGGGAAGGGGTATTCAAATTGATCCCGAACGAACTGAAATTTTGGCAGGACCAGATTCATGGACCCGCCCTGGCGTGGCTAGCCAACGGAGCCAAAGGGAGAGCACAAACCCCTCAGGAGGCCATAGCCCAAGGGAGCTTGCGTGGAGGAGCCGAGGCACTACTACCAGTGATGGAGTCAGGATCATTTGGGACGACTTCGACATCGGCACCGTCATCAAGTCGAAGGCAGGTCAACAGAGATCGAAAAGAAGCCAAGAAGAGGAAATGGCAGGCAGAAAGGGAAGAGTTGCAAAGACTCCGAGAATCCCGAAACGATGGAGGCTTCGAAAGAAGGCGAGGAGGCAAGAGCGGAGGGAAGAAAGGAAGAGGGGGGAAATAGGCCGAATCGATCTGTTTCTCTTGGAACAACGGGAATTCGCCATGTGGATCATTGCCGCCGGGTGCCGAGTGCGCGAACACGGTGAAGCGGATGCACAAGTGTTCATCCTGCGGGTCGCCGGGTCACCCGCAACACAAATGCGGAGCCAAGAAGTGAAGGGTGGTGATCATGGAAGCGAATCAGGGGGAAAAGACGAACAAGGCGAAGGTGGCGAAAGACGGGAGGAGGAAGGAGGAAGCGGTGAAGGGGAAAGCAACGAAGCAGCCAGGAGGAAGCTAGAGGGCAAGTTGGCGGACTATGTGAAGAAGAGAAAGTTCCGCTTCCTTCACCACTATGCAGGGCCAAGGGATCCATTGGGCGCTGCAGTACATCGGAATGCGAGGAAAGCAGGCCTCAACGTGGAAGTCATCGCGGCGGAGAAGGACTGGGGGCAGGACTTGTGTGATGATGAACCCTACAACACTCATCTTGGTTGGGCGAAGGAGGGACTGATTGATGGGTTCCATGCGGGCTTTCCTTGCTCAACGTATTCGCGGCTGAGGTTCAGAGAAGCACCGAACCTACCAGGACCTGTCAGGACCCGAGCCAAACCGTATGGGCGAAAGGTCAACACCCCGGAACAGCAACGGGAGTGCGACAGAGGAACTGTGATGATGGCCCGCTCGGTTCAGCTGGCAGAAGAAATGGCCAAAGCTCCCACCTCGTCCATTGTCTGCAAGGCCACCTCGATGGAAAACCCACCACCTTCGGATGTGGAGGACCACGTGTCGGCTTGGGCCATGACGGAGATGGTGGGCTATCTGAGGTTGAGCGGAGTGAAGATCGCCTTGTTCAACACTTGCGCGTATCAAGCTGATCGGGCAAGAGGAGATCGACGCTGGAAGCCACAGCAATTCGCAGGGACGCTCTACGGCATCGAGTCCTTGAACAGGGAGTGCAAATGCGGTAGCGCTAGGCATCGTCCGATCGTGGGGAAGAAGGAATCTCAAGAGTCGGGAGAGTACCCACTGGAGCTGTGCGACGCCTATGCGCGCCTGTTGATGGAGCACTTCCGGATGATGGCCGAGGCCGAGTACCTGGAGGGAAGGTTGAGGGAGGGCTCACAAGAACACGATGCGATGTCCACTTGCGACGCGGCGGCAACACAGATGAGGGAGAAGAGAAATCGAGAGGGCGTGAAGCTGTCGCCATCCCCCGAACTTCAACGCGATCGTCGAGGAGGACATGAAGGTGGCGGGGTAGTTGAAGCGCCGACGACATCGAAGAGGGCCAGAGAAGATGACGAGCGACAAAGGTACAGGGAGCGAAGGACAAGGACATCGGCGGAGCGGAGGCGGTCGAGGTCGAGGAGTCGAAGGGGGCGAAGCAGAGACAGGAGGAGAGAGGTGGAAACCGAAAGGAAGACGAAAGACCAAAGGTCAGGAGACATGAGATGGAAGCCCGGAGAAGGAAAGTATGGGATGCTGAGAGAGGAGGTGAAGAAGGAGCAAAAGCTTGACCAGCAGGACTTCGTGGGCGGCATGAAGAACCCGATGGAGACGGTAGAGGGACTACCACCCTTGCAGAACCTGGGAAGAAGGATTCTGGGAGCTTGGGAACGGCATTGCACGAAGTACCCCCAGGCGGTGAAGGTGGGAGAGACTTACGGGACACCGGAGTGCGTGTTGGAATGGAGGTGGATCGAAAGGTGGAAGGAAGAGTTGAGGAAACTCACCGGGGCGAAGGGAGCGGCTAAGGTGAAGCTGACAGAGAAGTGGTCCTATGAGTCGCCGCTGGATCACAACCTCTTTGAAGCATGGGGCCGACGAGCCAATGACCCTGAGACGGAAGTTCACAAATGGATCAAAGATGGAGTACCGTTGGGCATAGAACTACCCATCAAAACGTGTGGCATCTTCCCACCTACGCTGAAGGGCGACGAGATGCAGGAAGGGGGTGACGTCCAAACAGCGCAGGGCTTGCGCGAGGACATTGGCAACTACACGTCGGTGGTGGAGCAGGAGGAGGACGCGAAGGTGGAGATCGACAGGCTTATCCATTGCGGGTACGCCGTCAAGGTGAAGAAGGGAGAAGCAGAGAAGAAAGGCTTCCGAGGCACAACGATCTCCAAGCTGGGCCTCATCGTGAAGGTCAAGGAGAACGGCGCCAAGAAAAGGAGGATCATCATAGATCTGCGTCGGTCGGGGGGCAACAGGAAAGCGAAATTGCCCGAACGACTGGTGCTGCCCCGCCCTGCGGATGCAATAGCAATGCTGCGAAGGATGCATGCAGCGAATGGAGCGACAGTGAGACCGCAGGACAAGGTGATGGAACTGGTGATGATCGATGTGTCGGATGCTTACATGCACCTGGCAGTGGCAGAGGAGGAGAAGGGTCATTGCCTTGCACCAGCCCTCGATGGAGACCACTGGCTGCTGTTCGTAGCCTTGTTGTTCGGCTACAAGACGGCCCCGCTGACTTGGAGCAGGGTGGCGGCACTAGTGGCCCGGCTGGTGCAATCGATAATACCAGCTGACAGAGGGATGCATCAGGTCTACCTGGATGACTCGCTATGGGCCTTGTGCGGGACTCTGGCATCTAGGAACAGCACCCTGTCTTGCATCCTCACCACAATGGCCGCCTTAGGACTGCGTCTGTCGCTGGCAAAGGGAGAACGGGCGGCCGCAGTGACTTGGATCGGAGTGAACTTCAAGCTGGTAGCGCCGGATTACGACTACTTGCTGGTGACCCTGCCGGAGAAATTCATGGATGAACTGCAAAAGCAACTGCAGAGTTGGGAAGGAAAGGGAATGATCGGAGGCACGGAACTTCGCAAAGCTGCGGGCCGGGTAGCTTGGCTAGCAGGGGTACTACCCAGAGCGAGGTGGGTGACAGCCTCCCTGTATGCAGCCCTCTACAGCCATGAGGAGGACGTCGCCACAGGCAAAGAAGCAGAAAGAAGGGCACAGCGGACAGACGGCCGACAGAAGGACCACCTGATACCAGTCAAGCGAGTGGAACGAGCTCGAGTTTGGCTGATAGCGTACTTGGCGGCAGCGAAGGAGCGGCCGATCAGGAAGTTCTGCCTCTACAAAAGTGGTAAAGCTGAGGTGGCTATCATGACGGACGCCTCACCTCAGGGGCTGGGAGCAATCCTCATCGTGAATGGCAGGGCGACAAAGGCACTGGCAGCTCCCGTGGGGACCCTGGACGCGAAACTGTTGGGTTTTGCATTGGGAGAATCCAGCTCGCAAGGGCTAGTGGAGACCCTGGCCATCTTGGTCGCCCTCAAACATTGGGGCAAGCTCCTGACCACGGTGAGTGTCGCCGTGAACGTACAGTCGGACAGCGTGACGGCCTTGGCGATGACTCAACGGTTCTCCAACTCTAGCCCGGGGCTCAACTTCCTGGGCGCAGAACTGGCAGTGGAATGCGAAGCCTTGGGCCTCTCTGACCTGAAGCCCATACACGTTCCAGGAACGGCCAACAAGGAAGCTGGTTTCCTCTCACGGCCAGACTGTTGGGCCACTACACCGTTGCCAGAGGCCTTAGCTGGTATCCAGATCGAAACGCCTTCGCGGACGACAGAGTGGTACCGCCTGAAACCTCCAGGGCCGGACGAAGCAGACTGGCAAGGTTCAGAAGCTTTGTTGGCTGCCTGAGCAAACCGTTAATACGGCAGCCATACAGGCCAGTGAAAACGGCGCTAAGGAAAAGGGGAGGAAGGAGGGTCGTAGGGAGTGGTTGAACCTCGGAACCCGGTAGGTCGGGTCGTTTTCGTATGGGCAGTCTTTCGCAGGCTCCAAATGGAGGTGGCTCTGAGCCAACCACCCCTAGACCCCCCTCTGCTGGTAGTAGAGGGCGGCTGGACACCCACATGGCTAGCTTGCTTAATTTTCTACCTCGTAGGCACCGGGACCCTGTGCCACATCGGAGTCTTCTACTACTGCGCGAAGGTGGTACGAGACAAGTGGACTCAAGTTCGTCTTCCGCGGGATTCCCCATGGAGGTCTTGGTTGGCAGAAGACGAGAACGAGGAGTCGGAGGACAACACCGAGTGGGTGGAGCCGTGGAACATGGACCACGATTTGGATCAGGCCTGGACTCCACCTATCAACGACATGCCGGATGGAGAATTGAGGTTGAGGCACAGGGACACCCTGAACAACACGAGGGCAGACACGTCGACACCAGAACAGTGGAGGAGTCTTGTGGACAGGATGGCAACTCCTCCGAGAGAGACACGTTCCCCACCGCCCTATTGGTCGGCAGAACTGGGCTCACCAGGGGAGTTTTCCGCAGAGAGGACGACGCCGGGGGATTCTTCGAGGATGGCATCACCGCCTCTCAGGGAATCAGTGAGGGAATCCGGGGACATGGTATGGCTGGTGACGAGGAGGCTCAACACGAAGGACAACTGGCAGCTCTGAGGAGGGAAGAAGGAGAAGAGGAAGAAGCAGGGCCATCGGACGAGGAGAGTTTTCCGTTTCCACCGCAACCACCAGATCCGGGGACGAGCTTAGTGTGGAACCCACTACTGGCAGGGGAGACCTTGATCGAGGAGGAAGCGAAGGAAGCAGGACTACTATGGTTCTTGAAGGGGGGAACCAAGAGAAAGAGAGAGGAGGACGAGGCCCCGCGAGGTGGGAAGCGCTTCGAGGACGCGTTGCAGCGAGTGGGAGATAATGGATCTCGAGGTGACGAAGGACGGAGAAGCCATGCGAAGAAAAGAATCACGAGAAAAAGGCACGACCTACCACGGCTACGGCTGAACGGGCCGGGGGTGAGAGGAAGCCAGAAACATAAATGGAAGACAGCCATTCAGACTGCTCGGAACTTCAGGCTGAACAGGATCAAGAAGGACTCGGCGATGTCGGACTTCAGGAAGGAATACTATGCCAATTCGTCAAGGAAGGCAAGGGCATCGATCAGGAAAACGGTGGAGAAGATTCTGGAAAACTTGGGGCTGAAACACAAGGAACAAAGATGGTCGTGCAACGCGATGGAACAGTTGGGGACAGTGCTGAGGGACTCCGACTACAAAGCAGGGGTGGCCTACCTGACGGAGTACAAGCACATGTTGATCGAAGAAGGAATACAATGGTCCCTCCTCCTGCAGAAGACCTTCGGCCAGGTGGCGAGAGCCATAAACCGAGCGAAAGGGCCGGCAAAGAAGGCTGCAGAAGTTGAGGAGGACAGATGGCAGGGAGCGTGCCGCCTGGAAATCAACGAGACGGCGAAGGGCGTGGTGCACAGGCCAGCTTTGATGTTCGCGGTAGCCACCGTATGGATGCTAAGGGAGGTGGAGCTAGCAGCAATTCACAAAGAAGACATCCTTATTGACGACAAGGAGAAGCTGGTAACTTTGACCTTGAGACTCACGAAGACGGATCAAGAAGGAAAGGGCATGAGACGCACCTTGCAATGCTGCTGCCAGGGGGATTGCGGATGGGAAGAAACTTGCCCGTTCATGATTACGAGAGCCGCCCTGGACCACATCCCGATTGAGGAGGACAAACTGGTACATGGCGACAAGGAGGACGAGGTAACGAAGGGCCAAATTATTGAAGCCTGGCGGAAGCTATTTGGCAAAAAGGTGTCGGGCCATTCGGGAAGGAGATCAGGGGCCCTCCAATACATCCGCAGAGGGTGGCATGTGCCTCAAGTGGCCTATTTAGGGAGATGGAAATCCAACGTCATCTTGGAATACGCGGAGGAGGCCTTGGAGAGCATGCCAGTCAAAAGCAGAAAGGAACGACCAGCTTCGACTACCGCATCCGACAAAGACCAAAGGGAGGAGGTGAAGAATGTGAACGAGGCGAAGGTGAAAGAAATAACCAGAGAGATGGAAGCAAGACTGAAACTCGAAGTGGAGAAGCTGAAGGTCGCCCAAGACAAGTTGGAAGACTCTTTGGATAGGTGGGAAAAGATGTCGGCAAAGCACCAAGGTTTGCTTCCTCCCACCGTGATTTCGAAGAATGGCACCATCCACGAAAACAAGCGGCAACCGATTGCTTCACCGGTGATGAGCTGGCATACGAAATGTGGTTGGCCGTATGGGGCTTCGAACTTTGCCTTCGGAACCGACCCGACGACTATTACATGTCTGAAATGCATCACCATCGTGCCAGGCAATGAGGAAAGATTTGGCAATGGTGGAGCTTGAAAAATGAAGACAAAGGTT